TTCTACTGCCATACTGAATAGTAACTAAATTGGAAGTTTAATACTTGAAAGACTTTCGATTTTGCTCACGACCTGCGTAGGCGCACACGTTTTAACTATTATGTTTGCATTTGAGTACTTCAATTTTCTTTATTCTTTGACAAAGATTTTTGTGCAACGACACCAGTTAATTATATGGTTTAGAGAGATTGAAGTAGTTTTGATAGCGTATATTTCCACGGAGCACATGGTGGCCCAACGGATTTCACTGTGGGCGCTGGTTGTGTTGGTGGATTTGGGAAGACAACTTTTTTAATTTGGTTCTAGTCTGGAAGTTCCAGGTATTGCCCCGGGTGAATTCGAGTGTAGTGTAGTAGTACCTAAAGGGAATTCCACAGTTTGAGACCAGGTGATTGGTTCTCTAGAACATTATTATTTTTAGATTTTATAACATGAGGTGACACAGGAACTAACTTTGTCGCGTCTTTGTAATAATTATAACATTTTTATAAAAAAAACCTCACCTCACAGTCCTCAAAAGTTATCTTATTCATTTTTTATTGGAATTACATCCATTTGCCGAGTTTTATTGTAATCGGTTTACGAAAGGTGCGTAAAATGAAATAAACGATTTTCATACCCTTATTTCCATCCCTTAGTCCGCAAATTCGACGGCGCCGTCGTTTCAAGATTTGTGCGTACTTTGTGTTTTGCGCGCAATGTACGCGTAAACCTTGAACGCTCCACTGTACACGCCGCCGCGTTCCGAATTTGCGGCCCTAGAGGTGGGATATTTTCTTCAAATTTGAATGGCACTACTACTGAGGTAAGAACCACCGAAATCGGTTCACAAATGTTGGAGTAATCACGTAACACACACACAAGAGAAATAAACAGTCGAATTGAGAACCTCCTCTTTTTGCAAAGTCAGTTAAAAACAGAGCATAGGTATCTTCACGAAATCTCATTACGCTCTGCGGTTTGGACGACCTTTTACGAAAATAAATTCACCATTCACATAGATATATCCTTCAAGCAGAAATTGAACGAAAGGCGGAAATGGCCTCGTCATCTCCAGAACTCGTTTTCATTAGACGTTCGTGTGGTTTCTTGTCTATGTATTAGTTTAACGTAAACACCATTTGAGTAACAAAGTTATCTAAGTTCGTCGACCTTCATTTCCTGTTCAATGGCAAAACTTCAAGTTATTGCTTCAGAGAATAATGTCTACCCTTGTACGAGTATCTAGTATATACAAGAACGGGTTACATAAGATATATGATTTAGATGCAAGATATAATTGCCAACTGATAGTATTCTGTACTATTTAGTATTACAACTACCTTTGGGTTAGTGAAACTATTTTTTCGGATCAAAACCGCGTGTGTTTTACGTGTTTTTTTTTTTCAAACAAACTAACGTTTCGGGCTTTGTCGGTCGTGACCATGGAACGTAAAGAGCCTGAAAGTATAACTTTTTTTATAAAAATAGTCCGAACTCAAAAGTTGATGGAGTTACATTTCAATTTTCCAAGTTTTATTGAAATCGGTTAACGGAAACAACAAAACAAAAAAAAAGAAAAAATGTTTGTAGTGTAGTTTTATAGATATTCAGTTTTTTTTTCAAATGCGGTAGCACCTCCTAGCAGCATCAACGCCTCCCAATTACTTCCGAGGGTCCTACCGCCCGCGGTCCTATCGTTAGGGTCCACTGGTAGGAAAACTATGGCCTAGATGACGTTTATCAAGTTTATGAAAATTCTCGACGTTTGTTAGCAATCGAGCGGCTTCACTTGCCGCACTTCCCTTGCCTGTACTTCGCCGCGCGTCACTTGGGGGCCGTGAGGCGTCGAACGCCAACCAAACTGTGATCCCGGCGCACTAATGCGAGTGTAGTCGCGCGTCGCGCCGGACTTGAGCCTTAGGGTGGCAAACTAGGGGATGAATGACTTTTGAGGTCGGTTTTTCTAACCAGAGGTTAGGTTATCATATGCACCTGTATAATTAGCACTTTCTACCTGAAATACAGGCTTCTCCTAGCTCAGGTATGTGTTATATTTTACATTGATTCGCATAATTAGTCTTTAGTTATTCATTTGTACAATAAGTTATTCAATAGGCAAACAATTTAATTATTTATTTTATAAAATTTTGAAATAGTTACATTGCTTTCAGAAGCGCGAACATATTAGTTACAGCAAACGTACAAGATAACAACAATGGGTAGTTAAGTAAGAACCATTTCAGCGATAACATGTCGACCTGTAGGTAAATGCTTATCGATTGAACTAACGGGAAATTCTTATACAACATGCATTCGCACGTGCGAGTATTCACTGAAGTATTATATTCTTGTTATATGTACAAGATATGTATAAGATATGTATGTATGTATGTATAATATATGTCTTTGAGGTAGTCCCAGAATCGAAATAGCTCAATCTTTATATACTGGATGACATCGCTGTGGATTTGAAGTACTTTTAGAACTTGTTTTAAAGGGTAAGGGTGCTGGTGAAATGACAGGCACGTGGGACTTGTCAACTTAATGTCTCACGGTGACGGGTGCAGTAGCAGTGCTCTTCGGATCTTTACGGTTTAATGCTCTGAATAGCACTGACACTCATATGGACAGGCGTGTCGCTTATCACCAGGAGCACGACTTTTTCGTCCCGTAGCTTGATATCGTTAAAAAAATATTAAAATGTAATGAAAGTGTTCACTAATTTTGAAATAAAACAAATTACATTTGTCAGGGAACAGCAGGTGTTGATGATGTTAAAATTAAACCCGGTTTACTTTGTTACATAGCTCACATTCGATTTTGCGTTATTTTGAAGCGCACAGTCAATATAAAATGACTATAAACTAACAGTCGTTAAAAACGAAAAACTAAGCTCTGCAACAAGCACATAGAAGAATTCGTAAGTTGCGCTAGTTCGTTATGTGGCTTAGTTGGCATAGCGTCTGGCACGGTTTGCTGGAAGACGTTGGCTCGAATCCAGCCGGATCGAAGGAGTCTTTTGTAAGTGTTCAATTTTTGTATTAATAATTATAACAAACTAGTGGAGTATTTTCACAACAATAATTAAATAAATATCCTGGTGGTGAAACATTTTAACATTCAATAAAAAAATAGTTTTTTTTTAAATTTAAAGCAATACGCTCACGTGTACAAAATGAATGTTTTTTATTTTATTTTGCGTTGGACAATTTTATAGGCAAATATCGCAGTTACAATAGTGACGAAATAAAAAATAAAAAAAATAAAAAAACGTACTAAATAAATCTAATATACTATATTTTTCATGTCAAATAGAATCAGTCATATGGCTAACTAACATATGACTAAAATGGCGCATTTTTTTTTATTTTTTTTTTATTTTATTTTTATTTTTGGTGACATGTAAATTTTGTTAGGTATTCTAGTTTTTATATAACAAGATAAACTTTGTTTTTCAACTACTAGCTTTAATGAAAGTAGGTATTACAACTTTCTATCACGTTAATCGTATGTAATAAACTGATCTTACAAACAATGTAAACAATTCAACCACGACATTAAAGAAATGACATTCAAAACATACACTTCCTTTTCGCTAACGAAGGCAAATAAAAGACGTCAGTTGCATTTTGAGCGAATATTCAAAGGTCACGGATAAAACAATATCCGTTTATAATAAACGCGTATTTACATACAATAAATGATTAATAGCTCTTTTCTGTGTACTTGTACTTGAACTCTCTAACGTGAGGTAGGTACTTGGTATAAAGCGCCCTCGAAAACTTTGATTTGATGGTGTGGGTCTCTTTAGGGAATCTCCTGTTTCAGCATATGGAATTAGACCAGTCACATGCAACTAAATATTTTTTATCAATTAATAGATATCAAGATAACACCCGCTGCGATTATTGTTAACGAACAGAAGACCTGATCACTCTGTAAGTGGACCGTGATTACACTAGTACCGCAATAATTAAATTTGAAATTAAAGATATTGAACATAATGGAGATATAAATGTTCTGCGTAACCCTGTACATTGGGTAATAGCATTTATACTAACGTAAACTTATCGCATTAAACCCAATGTACTCCTAACTGACCACGCAATTGGAGATTCCCTATGAGACTGATATGAACGGCATATATCCCAGTGTTAAAAAGGCCCTGTTAAAAAAAAGAAAAAAGGTAAAGTACGTGAACACTGCAAGACGGTAGCTTCTGAAAAGCAAAATATATCAGTAGCGTTTCGAGTACTGAATAAGCGATAGTCATCGCTATCGAAGAAAGTGCAAGGTCGAATTTAATGCGCACATAAAATGTAGAATGCAATTTTTTTTCTGCATTAAGTTTAGTTTTTCGTTTTTATGGTGTTTGACTATAGACTATAGGTAATGAATGTAACCAATGCACAGTAACGCAAGTTAAATTTACTCTCATAAGTTCATACTTATGAGATTTATCACTAAACGCGAAATGGGCGTGTTAAGTACATCGATTTTTAGATATATCTTCGTCGGTATGCGTCGTAAAGAAAATATTATTTTGCCCACTATTAGTTGTAACTAATTTGTAAACAATTATTCTTAATTCCACAGTGTGGACAGAAAAATAAACGATTTCACTTTTGATCGACCGTTGACCTGGTTTAACGATTTCTCACTTCGCAACTCGCTACTATTTTGGACTTTGCCCTAGTAAATACAGTTGGACTTTATCCCAGACTTAGATTTTCGCACTTGCATATGTTTGTTTGTCTACTTTCATTTACATTATACCTTCTTACTTATTATCAATTGAATGGAGCAGTTTTGTGATCACGGACGTCTTTATGACATTCTAAAGTTCGCTTCAAAATAAAACGTGCTTTGAATTCTCTTGACATTTCGATATATTGCTATCGTATTTATCTGTAAGTCTATTTGAGCCGAACGATCCATTGACGTTCATTACCCATAAATATGTAATTCCTTTTCATAAAAGCATTATAAGATATTAATCAGATTTTATCTCTTTTCAGATGGATAGCAGTTCAGAAGCCATGGAGCTGCGGCGGGAGTTGGAGGCAGTTAGGAGTGCGCTGCAACAGCAATCCGAGTCCGTGCTTAAACAACGGCACCAGCTTGTAGAAGCGGGACAGGCGCTAGTTGCCCGTGACAAGCAAGCCGCTCAGGAAAGGCGACTTCGGCAAGATCAACTCGCCATAGTTCTTCGCTCTCTAGTCCTCCTGGAATCCCGCCTGACCAGGGAGCAAAAACAAATTCACGCTGCTCTCCGGCAAAAAGAAAAGATTATCAAATTCCAGCAGGAAGAGATCGCTAAACTCAAAGCGAAGAAATCATACTGCAACAATTGTCAGCAGCTTCTTGGCTTCACAAGCGAGCAAACCAATATTGAAACTGACCCTGAGTTTCAGAGTCTGGAAAGCACAGACTCCAGATTCCAGAACAACTTTGTGAGGAGTTGCAGTTTTCGTGAAAGGAATACTCCACCAGTCTTCCAAAAGAACACTCGGCTAAGCAAAAGCTTTCAGTTGCCTAAGAATGACGTTGTTTATGGTAATACTAGCTCCAGCGAGGAAGGGAATAACGCCACTGTCAGCGGTAAGGGAACATTTATCAAAAACAAACAAGCGTTTGTCAGACGAGATGTATTCAGGAGGTCGAGAAAGTATACTGGGAGAAAGAATAACAAGTTTGCAGAAAACACGCAAAAGAGTTACGATAACCAACTCAATAACAGCAGCAGTGCTGAGGACTGCATAGGAATGAGTTATCAAGTTAACCATGACGACAATGATTTAACCGCAAATCAAATTGCAAAAGATATAAAGACGGCGTCCCTGAAAATTGATCAACTCATCGGCGAAGCAGCTAGGAAAGAAAAAGAAGGTAATGCAAGTGATTCAGATAAAACATACTCAACGAAAATAGAGAGGCTTCATGGGATCAAACGGCAGGCATCCGATGAAATAAAAGCTAACCGGCAACTTTTCTTAAACAATGTTCTCATAGAGGAAACGAATGAAAAACCTTGGTACTGTAATGTTAGTGACCCTGAACAAGATAATGATTGTTTAGACCAAAGAGGAGCGTTGACCAACGCAAAATCAAAATCCACCGATGACCTGCTGGTAACTGGTTTCAACAATGGCATATTAAATGCTGAAGTAATTTCTGCCAAGAATGAAATATTGTGCAACAATATTTTGAAGAGTAACAGCAGTGAAAGATTTAATACTCGATTTGATGATAAGAACAACAATGAAGAACCGAGTCTAAATAAGCCAAGCAACCCAGAAGTAAACGAAAACTGGTATGCTAGCACTAGCGACGCTGATGACAGCCCTAGTCACGAGATATATAAAAATAATCCTGTTCTAGAATGCGTCAACCAAATTTTACTACAAAACTCATTAGATGACAGTAGCAATGATAACTCGAAGTCGAGCGATGCTCCCAGCCCCAAATCAACAACGAAACGAGTTCAGTTTTCTACTCTAAACAGTATTTCTTACGAGGAAAAAGTCAGAAGCAACTGCAATAACATTACCTTACCTCGATCTGATAGACGAGCTAATAAAATCGTTAAGTTTAGCCTTGAAACAGCTTCTGAGCACAGTTACGAAGTGCCTAACACAGCTCAAGGCTATCAGTATGAGATACAAAGTATCTACAGCAACGAATATGAGCCGATTATAACTAAAACTGTAGAATCGAAACCAGTGCCACTTCCACGGACTATGCCACCAAATGAAAGTGCCCCCAAAATCAGGGGTTCCATTGTGAAAAACATTGCTGCTAACATTGAAAACCGCAACAATGCATCTGAAAAGAAGTCTGAGAACGATTTTGGTTCTATGAAGATTTTCAATAAAAGGAAAGTACCACGAACTCCTCCTGCTCTGCCGCCTAAACCAAAGAATTTATCAGCTAAATGGAAAGCTGAGAATAGTGTCAAATCGACAGAACCGTCAGACTCTGAAGCCGTTGCGGCTAACCAACGGGTTGCAGATGTTAAAATAAGAAAAGTGGGACATGTAGCAACTGTAAATAGTGTAGAACCGGACTACTGCTCCATTTCAGAGATAAATGTTCCAGTAGTCAGTCAAGGAAAACGGGAGTTGCTACTAACACAGCCAACGGTCGAGATTCACAACGAACAGTACCCCATACATGCTGTGAGTCAGAGGAACAACAGCGTCGCTAAAGTCGTCTCCTTGCCGCGTATCCAGAGCAAAATCAGTGATAAAGACATACCGAAACTACCGCAAGTCACTGAGATCATTATTCCTGACGATGACGATAAGCCGAGTGAAGAACTAACTCGCTCATACCAACAACCTACAGATAGTTACCTGACTAATTTCAACATGCACGCTCTGCAACCAAAATTGGACCCTCGTGCTTCTATCCAAATGGGCAACACGGTATCATCTATTCTATCAGAAATCAATAAGGGCGGAAAGAGTGGCAATAAGCAAATTAATTTAACTGAACTGGATAATCAGTTTAATCACGCGACTGAAAAGATACAGTCAGTCAACAATGCAGAATTACACAAGGCCGAGTACTTCGATGACATAGACAAGTTTGACTTGTCGCAAAACTTTGAAGAGTTTAAGATAGACGACGAGCTCGGTAGTATAGTCGCCGAAGAATATCGCATCAGCTCCGGTAGCAGCGATATTTCTATGTCAGACGTAGTTACGGAGCATCTACTTACAATTGTACCTGAGAAGGACAGTAAGCATAATACAAATAATAACAATGACAATGGAAAAAATGATACATTTCTAGAATGCAACGATAATGCCTTGAACAAGGCAAAAAACGCCAAGCTATCTAATAAACCTGATCTCCTTTCGAATATAGAGAATCTAGAGACTGAATCCGTAAGAAACTCTGATATCGAGTCGAGTAATTCGTCAGGTAGCAACAGTGGTTCATACAACACAGTGAAGTGCGAACCAAGGATGGCAATAAACAATCCTGAATCAAACGTGGCAAAGACGAAGGTGACTTTCGATTTTTTCCTAGAGTCATCTGGTCTTAGTTCTAAGTCTATATTTACGCCCAGCAAAAGTTATCTCGGAATGAGACCTCCAAGTGCCAATCATAAGAGCGTACTCAAGCCTAAAGATATAAAGATGCGAGTCAAGAATACTTTAGCAACGAACAAAATCAACGAAAAGCCTATGACGACTGCTATCAAATATTTTGAACCTTACGTTTAAGTTAACTATTTTAACTATTGTATGTAGCATATATTGTGTATTTTCTTAATAGAATTATTAAATTTATTTATTGCAAAATGAACTTGCCTTGCATAATATTACTGTATTTATGTTGATGTAAATATGAACTTATACCTAGTTATTTTCTATTATAAAATATTTAACAAATATGAAGTTGGTTCTTTTATTTATTTACATACTTTTTAAGTTAGTATCAGAATCATGATCATTTATTGTTAAGGGCGGCAACCCAGTCGATTAGTAGAAAACAAAAATTTAATCAGCAAAATGAAATTTATTCCAGAATAAATAATGATTTAATTATAAAGCTAGATTAGTAATAATAACATATAATAATAATTACTTTAAATTACATAATTTTTTTAAATTAAATTATACTAAAATCTAAGCAAAGTCATCGCAATCCTTTAATTTTCAATTTTAAATCTAAAAACGAGAATGTAGTGTTCTTCATTTTGTTAAAAAGACAATCAATTTTTTTCTTCTTCTCCAAAGCCATTTCTTGACAAATCGTTTCACCATCTTTGAGGGATTCTTCCAATGATTCCTTCAACTGCTGAATCAAATCTTTGAATTCCAATGCTATCTCTTCAGCACTAGTTATGTTTCTGTAGTTCTCCAATGAAGTAACTGATCCAAAAGTTGTATCCAATGAAGTAACTGATCCTTCAAGATTCCGAGAGATATTGGAAAAAGAATCCTTCATCTTCTTTCTTCTATATAATTTCGGGTCTTCATTTCTTGAATATGGCTTGTGTCTCCTGAGTTTCCTTAAATACTCCTCAGACGAAAAGGTGGTTGTAGACCTTTCGACGATAGCTGGTAAACAAGGTATACCCTCATCTGAGGTATCTAAGTCTACGGGAGTTCCCCATTTGCTGCCCAAAGCTCGGTATGCAGCAGTCAAATGATGGTGAAGCATTGTAAATGGAAATGCTTGCAAGCACAATAATAAGTAAATGTGCACTGGTTGAAGATAAATGTTCTAATGATTAAAAAGTCGGCATTTTGGGAGTTTTTAAATGGTTGTTCCCACCTACGATTTACGCATAAGTATTAGATGCATGCCAAATGTAATGAGTGTCAATTAAGTTATCATAGGGAACATTAGCTTCGAGAATTTATCGATTAGTTATGTAATTAACTACTTAACAGTTTAACGAAAGTGATTAAGTAGGTAATTAGTTGTCTCCTTAAGTTACTTCGTAGGCACATAAGAATTATAATCATTTATTTATTAATGGGCAGATTTGGCAGCACTGCGCTCTTGAACGGCAGGGGATTGCGAAGAGGCAAGCTCACGAGTTCGAAGAGCAGCGTAAAGCTAATACGAGATATAGACACCGGTTAACCTTCGCCATAAACTATAATTACCTTGGCTCACGTACCCTCAATGTGCACGAGGAGTCGCTGCGAAAATTGGCTACATTAATCTTCTACAAGCGCATCATCAACCAACTAGGAATTAAAGTGGTCGCCATGAATGAACACGATCGGATGGATAATAGTAATTTAACAAACAACAAAAGGCTCATTTGTACTAGTATTTACAAAAAACTATTCTTAACCATCTTGTGAGCTAATGTTAGTTAAAAAATTAAGAAAAATCAAGTGTAGTCTATTTACATCCTACTTGAACTGGCGCTACGATCTTGTACAGTAAGGGAGACGTACCAAATATCAGATACATTTTGAACATTCGAAAAAAACACTAATTAATATTTAAAAAAAATATATTTATTGCAGTCACAGTCATTGTCTATCTAAAGACTTTACTTGTAATGAATTTAACTTATATTATGTTCATTTATTTTTTATATAATTATTTTGTTTTAAAAAAAATCACATGTACCCTAATAATGGATATCCAGTACAGGGTATATCAATATTGGATATCCATTATAGGGTACACTTAACCATGGGCATGAACCTATATAAATGATGAAAATTGCAAAAGCAGTAGGCAAAAAAATGTAAACGGTCATCTTTTTTAATGATCCCCCATCTAAACAAATAATGAAACATTTAAATATGAAACAGACTATACAACCAGTGATGTAGGCACCTCAATATCGGATACCTAGTATTGTGGATTTGTACAATAATCGGTTACGAAAACTTCACCCTGGTTCTTCTAACTATGCGCCTAGCTAGTATATAACACTGTCACAAAATATAATATCACATAAAGTACTTTAACAGCGTTTGAAGTCAAGATCTGAAAAAATCGTCGAACGGAAAAATACACTTTGAAAGATGACAGCGAACTGAAAGCAAAAACGGCGCAGACAACTAACAAAATATTGGTAACTTACATTGACGAAGTTGTTTTAGTTTTTAAATAAAGGTCACCACCTTGCTTAGTTTTCATTATAGCAGGGTATCCAGTATTCTGCACGTATCCAATATTTGGTACGTCTCCCTTATACTTACTGTTGGAGCTGCCATGGCACGCACCCTATACCTACACTAGGGATGCGCATTGTGGCGTAAAACCACATGTGCTTCAGCAAACATTGCTGATGGATTACAGAAGCGCGGCAGCACCAACAGCACCCTAAACGCGTTATTATTTTGAACACGAAGAGTACTGAAGCCTTTCGTGTAAAATTGTTTCACAAGCTGCACATATTGAAAGCGGTAGGTTTAATTCTGAACTATGTCCTTCAAAATTTTCCACATAATAGTGTTATTAAAATTATAAATTCATTGCAAAATTATACTCTGAAGTCATTCCTCAGCATAATAAGTCACCAAATCAGAGGTGTCGCATGTCGTCCTGATAATTACTTCATTACGACTGCATTTGCCACATACCACTACAATTATAGTATCTACGTAATTTTCTTACCTTACACTTTATGGGCATACTTCTGAAAGTAAGAACGTGCCCAAGAAGCGATGGCTTTTCAAAAAAGGCACAAAATTTTAAGAGCATCAATGTGCCTGGATAGAAGCATTGCTATTTTAAAATGTGCAGGCGTTTGGATGCCAGACTTAGATCGCCCATGGAATTTGTGCTATACAATTTTCGCCTGCCTTTTACAGTTCTTTCTATTTTTCTGCATTGTTTTAGCTGAAGTAAGCTATGTATTTACGGTAAGTGAATTCAGAAATTCAACACAATGATATATAGATAATGTTGATATTGATAACATAACCGACGATTTCCTACAAACATTTTTTGTCCTTTGAACCAATTTGTTTATCAATTTATTATTTAATAAAGGCCAATCTTGCGTAGGTACATACTATTATGTACCATGGTGATACGGCTCGTAGTCAATAACTACCGACAGTGTCAATTCACACTTGGTTTCGACGTTACAACTTAAAACTGTTTTATAAATCACAGCTTAAATCCTTCAAGCACAAGTGAGTAGGTATCGTTAGTACGTAATATGTATCTTATATTAAAGGTGATGGATGATACAAACCGTACAATTGAAGCTACAGTACTACTTTTCACACACATCATCCAGGGCGTGAAAGTACTGACTATCGTGCTGCGACAAGGTCGGATCAAACGGCTTATCAAATTCATTGATGGTGGGTATCTCATTAAAACACAGAATAATAATAATAATAATAATAATAATAAATGTTTATTTCAGTAATACAATTAACTTTACATTAACAGTGGATGGTACCTCCTATTAAGCTTATCAAGCCTGTGTCAGAAGGCACCGCTCTTCCATAGCTATAAATACATATTTAACATTTTTAACTTATACTTAATGTAGTGTTTAATTTTTACATTTCCAAACATCGACAAAAACAAAACAAACAATTTTTTTTTTTAACAATTTTCAATTTTCTTAACTTCTAATTTTAAATTTAATATGAATAAAACGTATGTGTGTGCATTTGTATATGAAAAATTATGTGTGTGTGCGTGCGTGCGTGTGTGTGTGTGTGTGTGTGTGTGTGTCTGTCTGTCTGTGTGAGTGTGAGTGTGTGTATGTATGTATGTATGTGCGAGTGTGTGTATGTATGTATGTGTGAGTGAGTGAGTGTGAGTGTGTGTATGTATGTGAAATACAATAATGTCATTAAATTTAAAGGAATGTAAGAAAAAAGCCTCCCCGCACGACGTACCATTCCTTTCTGTACGTCTGGTGCACGTAGGGTACCTTAAGCCAAATTACAAATCCTTTCACCAGGATAGCAAGCATTATCAAGTGACGGGACGAACAAGTCGTGCGCCTGAAGACAAGCCAAACGCCTGTCCATAACAGTTGCAGTGCCACTCAGAGCTTTAAATCGCAAAGATCCGAAGGGCACTGCCACTGCGCCTGTCGCCCTTAAACATAAGTTGACAAGTCCCACGTGCCTGTAATTTCACCAGCACCATACCCTTCAAAACCGGAACGCAGTAATGCTGAAATTACTGCTTGTGGCAGAAATAGGTTAGGTGGCCGTACTTCCGTGGACGAACTGTTTCACAAGGAGCTCTGCTGCTACGAAACCGAATCCAGGCGTTAACAAAGCTTCGGGTCAAAACGCGGGCGCTTGCTTATCTTTGGCTGCAATTTCTAAGAGCTGATGAAAACCTACTGAAATGATTATTATGATTACGTACGATAAATTTTCCAGGACCTGACTTCACAACACTAGATCCTCAAAAGCATGATGTCATAGAGAAAACAATTAATATTGCAACAATCATTGAACAAGCGATATTAGGTGCAGTCATACCGGCTGCGATGTTTTGGTGTATAGTCCCTGCATTCCAATCTGATACTTCCCTCCCTTTGAAGACTGTTTTTCCTTTTGATTGGAAAATAAATCCTATGTAAGTGTAACGGGTACAAACAGGTTTTATAAATCATGCAATTTCAGATTAAGGGAACCTCGTAACCAACCGGCCGAAATATCAGTAGAGTAAGGGTGCGTTCTCACGTGTCTCAGGTGCCTATGTCGTGACGACAGATTGTCGTGCAGTTTACAGTGACGTGACTTGTATATTTAAATGAAATTGTTCACATATAGCACAACACCATTAACTGTCGTCACAGTGGGAACAGCTAGAACGACAGTCGTCAGACGATAAAAAAAGTCACGATAAAAACGTGACGACAGATTGTCGCAGTTCCTATTGTCGTCACGATCTAGTGGGAACAGCTAGTCACGACAGTCATTCAACGATAAAAAATCGTCTACGACAGATAGTCGTGATATGGGAACAGGCTAGACACGACAGTCGTCCAACGATAATAAAACGTTACGACATAGTGGGAACGCGCCCTAAACCCCCCACGTCTGCTAATCAAACCACTAGTCATTGTCATTGAGACTGAGTTGTGTTGGTCATTAAGATTATTATTCATAATTACTCTGTATATCTTAATTTTTATCTCGTTTAAGCAGCAATTTAGTTTTAATATTAAATATTTATTTATTTATTAATGAAAAACCAACAGCTTCGAAAGAAACATAAAGCCAATTACAGGTTTCCACTAGCTTTAGACAAATCAAATAAGAGCATTAAACAAACGAACAACAAACAGTATTTGTTAACAATATGCCCTTACATAAATATAACAACCCAATACCTGCGCCAACAGTCACAAATGATTCAATAAAATTAAACAAAATGTCCATCAGTGCTTTAGCGCATCAATATTACAATTAAATATATCAATATCCAGGTCATGATTGCTCTGCACAATATCCAAGCTCTTGCTAGCTCTACCTTGAAAACGTGTTGAAAACTGTTTTGTCTATAATTAGTCCTCGCTAAAAGAATTGAAATAGGATGATATTGTCTTATAAAACCCAATAGTTCAAGGCAGTGAACATTACCGTTTATGATGTGAAGAATATACGCTATATCTAACATTTTTCAACGAATATTTAGAGGTAATAGATTCAGATCCTTACAGAGACCTAGGTAGTGGAATGAATTATAAGACTTACTCATTTTATAGCATAACAATTTAATAATTATATTTTGGGCTCGTTCAATTCTTTCGATATAGACTTGGTATCTGGGATACCAGATTTTATTTTATTAATATATATAATAATACTAGTAGACTACGCCATAGACATGCCATCAACTCGCCATTGAAGAGCAGAATACCAAAAAATGTGCTGTGACTGTTGGATAGTAGCTCGATGGCTGACAAGCCTGACAAGCCACTACTCTAACTTTTAGCAGAATACCACAAGTACAAAATCCTGGTTACCTATCACAAGACCGAAATGACATTTTCCAGAAATAACGCTTGCTTGAATTTTCATAACCTCGAAAGTAATTTTGAGAGGTAAATGTTTTTTCTTTGAAGCCTTTTTTTTGTAAATCCGGGGTAATCTGCTTACAAATACCCCGGCCCCGCGGGGGCAGAGCCGGGGTTATGTGGGACTGGGCTGAACCCTGAATGGGAGCAGCTCGACAGCATTAAACCTCCGGAGTGTTCCTCCTCTCAGCTGTAGGTGGGGGTACGGGTACGCTATTGCACTCGTCCGCGCCCCCATCGGCGGCTGAATGCGCCACGCGCAGCCCCTCCCCAAGAAGGGAGACACATCGGTCCTCCGACTCCGGATGTGAGGCTCGCCGAACACCAGACGAGCCTTCCATCCCGGGCCCTCTCTGCTGGGCAACGAACTCCCCTGAGTCCGCTACCCAGGGACCAAACCTAATCGTGTCTTTGCGATAAACACCCAACATATCCTGAAAGAACAACGGTTTCGTTATAATTCGTTATTTCGGAAAAAAGAAACTCGAGTTTGTGATAGTTTACCCAAAATCCTGCCATTGGCACTATCCAATGACACTCTATCGACACACAACTAAGATTATAATTAACAGATTTGGGCCCCAAGTGAGGTTAATATTTAAAATGGAAAAATAACAACAAAAAATCTCACAAATAATGTTTTCGTTATTGTGGTTGCTGTGGCAAAGGGTATTAGCCGGCCAAGGAACAGGAACCACACACAACATACGAAGGATGAGGGTCAAGATCCACAATTTTTTAGTCGGTTTGTAATTTAATGGACATCCTAAGATTAAATCACGATATGCATTTAACTGCCTCGGTGGCCAAACAGTTAGCATGCTACACTGCCACGCAGAGGTCCCAGGTTCGATTCCCGGACTAGGAGAAATATCTGTATGGCCTACATTTATTTCTCTCGTGATTTTGGGTGTAATTTATGATTATCTGTGTGTGTGTCCATCGCTCCCGCGATACAGGGTTTTCCTAGTGTGCGGCTACGAGTGATTGCGTTTAAAAAAAAAATAAGAATGAGAAATGATTTCCGTGAATTGAAACAATCCGTAGCTTTTTCCTTAGTTTTTCTAATTTCTCTATATCATCCCCTACATCAGGTTCGCAATAACGTACGTATATACTTCAATCAGTGTAACAGTGCTGGCTGTAAGTGATGCAGCTGAAAACTTCGTGGTATCTGGACTGATGATCATGGGATCAGCTCAACTTGATGTACTCAGCTTCGCTCTACAGAACATTGGAAGAAATGGTAAGACTTTTATACTAATATCTCCCAGTGTCAATATCATCTTGGAATATAGGACAATGTTCCTTTTGACACTACAGAGGAAAATCTTAAAAAACCCATTTTGTGGATACATTTATATTTTCCAGAAAACAACGCGGACTATGAAGAGACAATTACTTGTATTAAACATCATCAAAACATAATAAAGTAAGTTTTTACGTATTAATATTAAAATAATCAAAAATAACTATTATGTAATATTATGAGGGTATAAACCTGAATACTTACTTATTTTTTCCAGGACTTACCAAGGCCATTGCCTTTAGTAATAAATTAAATAATGCGATGTCACAACTTCAAAACTTATTTTGCGTATTTCGAAAAAGTTGAAATTTTGTGTTAGGTCACTTTCATTCTAAATGTTCGATCTGTTCTTACTACATTTCAGCCATATCTACATATCACCATAGACCTTAGCGTATTGTTATAACTAAATTCTGCATTTATTTTTCAGATACGTTAACGAACTCGCAGAAATATTCGGAACAACAATACTCTGTCAATTTATTACAAGTAGCATCGTCGTTTGCATGACACTTTTCAAAATTACCTTAGTAAGTTCGAAGCTAGACTCAATACGTGCGTCAATCGGTACACAAAGTCTGTAGCTCTAGTGAAAAGGGGTACAAGTAAAAAAAGCCAACTTTATAAGGAAACGCGAAAACCACTGTTTTTCGCGTCTCCTTCTAATGTTGGCTTTTTTTATTTGTGTGTTGAAAAGTTTCTTTCTTTCAGAGATAAATTTAAGGCGATTGGTATCATGGCTGTGGCATCACAGTACATTTATTCAAATATTTTATATGCCCGTAAAAATATACATCATTTCAATAAAAAATAAGATATCCATAATATTAACCTTAGAGCTAAGTCCAAACTCATGGTACCATGATTTCGTTTAACCAATAAGATTCCGGAGCTTATATTAAAATTATCATTTCCTAAGTTTAAAACCACATTAAAAATATTTTATTTGATAAGTCATATTACAAAATTGAAGACTACGTGTTAGATAAAGATGTATGGAAAGATTGATTCAAAGTGTAGGTATTCCATATCATTTAAGTTTATTTGGAAAGAGCGATCCCTAGAGTTTCTTTCTCGTTCTTCTCAAGAAAGTCAGCGTAGTGAACGAGCAGTAGCTTAAATGTGACGTTTATTTTGCATATGGAATAAATGATTCTTTGACTTTGACTAGAGCCACAGAAATAACATCACATAACCTAAAACTAACGTCAAATTGTGAATTTTTCTAACTTTTCAGACAACGGAGGCTGTTGAAATGGTTACGATAATATTTTACCTTCTATGCATTTTCGTCGAGTTACTAATGTACTGCTATCCTGGTGATTTACTTATCAATAAGGTATTCTACGTAATTAGCCTACCTATGCCTAATGTGATGATACCTTTTTATACAAAACTCGAAAAAAATATCATCACATGAGGCATAGGCTAATTACTTGTCAGATTAGTAGCTACTTGTTAACAAGTAAAAAATTAGCGCCGTGTAATATTCTGAAGGGTCGTTATCATCCAGTATTATATAACCAGAAATAGAGACGAAATGTTATTTAATTTGTTTGAAAATTATTCTGCCTAATCATTACGATGACAACTGCGCTCCGATTGGCCAGCCCGAATTCGAAACAATTGACGGGTGTAGAGAGTTGGTCTAGTTTTTACTTATTTAATTACCGTTGAAATGTAATTCCGTTTGGATTCCACACCGAATAGAACATCAATCATCATCTTTATTACAATAAATACAGAATATTTTTGGAATATTCGGAGACGTACACACAGGTCAGTTGTTGGCGCTGTACTATTTCTGCTTTCTAATTTGTGATTTCAGCGCAAACGCGAGTTAATATTTAAAAGTGATATCAAAAAATAAAAGTAATATATGATAGTTGCTAGTGATGGATGGCTCTTATTTCATCTCTATTTCTGGTTAGGTATATACTCCATGGTCCTTATTATATAATTTAATGCAACTACTTATGAATCCTTGTATTTCTAACTATTATCACGTCATCGCCCTGAGTGAAATGGTTAACTGTGACTGGCGGTTTTGACTTATAATAAAAAAAAATCGCCTTAAATTCTGCATAAAGACTGTAATCTTTTGATTGTTTCTTAACTTTTTATTTACCAAAATTGTTTTTTTTTTTTTGTCTTTTTTTCGAATTTTGTTTTTTGTTTCTTTTTTTTCACAAAATTCGGGGCTCATTAATTTAGTAAATAAATATGGCTGTTTACAAAAATAACAGAAAATTGAAAATTACCAAAAAATAAAGTTCGCGTATATTGTTAGTCGAAAGGGAAGATATTGTTTTTTGGATGACGTCATGGAACTCGCAGAACAAAATTCCTTCATAATAAATGTGACTGGAGAATCTAGCGATAGTGATTAGTGATTTACGTAATTTTAAGACAATTTGTTTCCATTAAACTTAATTACATTTACATTTATTTTTAAAATTTCTTGAAATTTCACTCCACTGTGAATACACCCTTACCCGGCAGTTGCACTGATGAGTCACTATTTTCTTAACGCGAATGCACTATAGTGTTTATTGGAGGTATCGAAATATTGCTTCTGGCTAATATTCAACGAACAAAGCACGATTTACAAGTGGTACAAACGTTTTAAAAAGGGTGGAGCGTCCTGGATGTCCAAGCACATCGACAACTGATGACAACATCAAAAAAGTGGAGACTTCAGAGACATGTTGTTGCTGATGAGCTTGGAATATAACTATGCTCATGCCAAACACTTTTTGCAGATGTTTTGAGTAGGACCGATTGGCAACAAAATTTGTTCCAAATTTTTTTTCGCTCCAACTCACATACACGTCGTTGTTTGTTCTTCAATTATTGGCCAAAAAATTAAATCGTTATGTAGCCTCAACCGGTCTATTTTAGTAACTGAAAAATCACCATGAAAGGTCGACGACATTTTGGCAGTATTGAGGAGATGAAGACAAATTGCTTAAGCAACTAAATCATAACAAAATTGAGTTCCAGAAATACTTCGAGGATTGGAAAAAGCGCTGGCACAAATGTATTATATCTCAGGCATTGACTTAATCTCAGGGGAATACGTTGACGGGAACATTGTAACCAATGAATAAACATTTTTTAAGAAAACTAAAAAGTCCGCATATTTTTATCACACCTCGTATAAGTGAGTGCATAGTAACTATATTAACTTTCTAGAGTTTACTGATATCTGAAGCAGCATTTCCCAACAACTGGTCTGGTGATATTCGGAGCCGACAAGCCTTGTTGCTGACAGCCTTGAGGGCACAGAAAGCCCTGCTAGTTAACGCTGGAGGGGTATTGACAGTCTCATTGCCGACTGCCGCTGCGGTACGTACTCAACATCTGTAAATATCGCTGTAGCACGCACCGCCGCGAACATCATGGTGGTACCTATTGTTTGCAGCTGTGAAAACATGACCAAATGCTCCCCCTGTCTTAGAGTTATTTATTTGGTACATAAACTGTGTTCAGCAAACTGTGTGGAGATTTGAACATAATGAAAATTGCAATTATTTACTCTATTGAATAACATGAAATTCATATCGTCGTTATTCGCATATATCTTATGTGAAAAGCGCGAAAGCGCCATTTTAAAAAATTTTTCATCGGATCATGTTTTATAAGTTTTAACGACTGTTTTATAATAATCCTGTTTTAAAATTTAGTTTTGGTTTTAATTAAATTTATGTTTATGAAAAACTAAAACACGCTCCTCTGGATTTTTTTCGAAATGGCGCTTACGCCCTTTCTATAAAACACCGACGATATTTTCTATGAAATACTGATATTATTATTGATACAAAGATCGAATAAACACAAAGAAAAATTCCTTCGATCGAACCAGCAACTGTTGTCAGACAGGGGCTAACAGCGCTCTCAACTGAGAGTACTAGGAATTTCTCTATGTGCTTGTTACCGATCCTTGTTTTTGTATAATAACGAAAATTATTTATTGATACCACACTCTTTTCAGTAACTATTGGTATATAACGGGTTTTAAGCGCACAAGATCTTTTTTCTATTCAAAATATAAATACACTCCCGCACACATAATTTGACCCATAGAGAAATTCGTCGTAGGTACTGGTGCCTTGCATTTTGATTCTGAAAACTTTCCCCGGTTTTACAAATTCAACTTTTCAACAAAGACTTATGAAAATGACGTTTAGTATATCATAAAAATATTGCATAAGTTTTTCATCAATCAAACATTGTTAATGCTTAGGGCATTTAATACAAAAACGCAAGGTGGCTCGAAGTCTTAGAAATAAAATATTGTTTTATTTAATACATTTCCTCTTAGAGAGTCACCTTCCTTATTAACACGGAATGAGCTGGCAGAAAAGGCTTTGTCGCCACGCCGAACGTGAAACGCACGTCTTTTTCGATTCTGTGACGATAAGTGCGAGGATCCCTTACCTGCATGACGTCTAGGCAATGCAATGCAGGATTATGAATGTATCCGCTGTGAGCTAGCCGTCCTGCAATGCGACTTACGAGACTCCAAACGTGGGCCATATGCAGTATAGTGTGTGTGCACTAGGGACCAGTGTCCTGCCAGCCAGTAGGGACTGGGCCGTTTAATAGGGGTTTATCAGTTTCTCCCCGTCTTTGGGTGCAGTAATGAGTTACGACTTTTGCTACTTAAATTTAGTTATTAATTGAATTAAATTTAGCTATTAATTTAATTTATTATTCATTGTAGATTTCAAACAATTTCAGGTGGTACGCTCAGCATACTCTTATTACACCGTTTTGAGACAGAAAATGAATGACAATTAAGAAAACTTCACAAGATCGCGAAATATTGCTTCGATTTCACATTTTTTTAAGTTGTGTCATACTGATTGTTACTCAAGCGATGTCAAAGTTGCGACAGATTTATAGGAGATCGCTTATCGATCGCTGTCGAACTGTCTTCGGGATGAAAGTTGGGTTCAATGACCGCTATTGACATGCTAAATGGTACTTCGTACAGTACAGCCACAAAAGGACCTGTTACGGAGCGGTTCACGAATAGCTTTTTAAAAAAACAAATTAACCCCAAAAACACCCTTTACTTAAATACGTAAGATAATAAGGAAAATCATAATGAGAAACAATGTGTCGCGACGGCGTTCAAATCCAATCTGCCTGCACGTGGAGGCTTTTGGTCGGAAGCGCTTTAACGGTCGTATTCCAGAACTCTACTCAATGCTCAAGTTAGGATTTGAGCAGACTTGAGTATGATTTCAAGCACTGGAAATACGACCCTAATGGCAAGGACTTGAGTATGATTTTCAGTGCTCACTGTAATACTCAAGTCCTGACTTGAGTATTGAGTAGAGTTCTAGAATACGACACTCAGTTTTCTATTGCATTTGTGTCAAATGAAATATGAAACGCGAAATGTAAAAATATAGCTAAACAATCTTTTTAATATGTTGCCGGCTAATATGGAGATGTAACAGACCCTTTGTATGAGTATATAAAATTCTTTGAAACCTACACAGCCATTTTCCGCTTCTGTTTTGTATGTAGCGTACTTTATGCACACAATACCTTTTAAAATAAATTTCTAGTTTCTAAGAATTTAATTCTTACAATTACTTAATTACATTGCATACTAAATCTCTTTTATTTAATATTCATTTGTATGATGTTATTTAACTACTTTCAATGCAATATTGCTTACTTTAATTATGTTACAAACTTAATTGGCTAATTGATTGAATATATTAAGTACTATAAAAAAGTAAGTAGGTAAGTAATCAAACAAATAATTGTAACTTACAAATTTTAATAAATTATGTCAGTTATATCACTTCTTTTTCTTCTTTGTAGTTTTATTATCTTTTTTCAGGTCTTTTTTCTGTACCTGAAAAACAAATTTATTATAAATATAAAATACGTATATTGATGATATTTGTGGTGGCATTTGAAAACATGCATATATGTATTGTGTAACACAGGTAAGATGTTTCACTTTTTTTATTATTATTTTATTTGCGATTAGCCGCCAGGTCATAAGCGAATCTTTTAACGAAACAGGACGTTTTTGGTTGAGCGGCTAGCGGCCCACCTCTCAACTACAGAACATAGTTGATGGGTGGGTTCGGGTGGCAAGACAGACGTTCCTTGTGCTTAGTTTTATGTCAGTCGATTTCAGCAGATACAGATTGCACATTTACGTGATCATGGATCTCTTCATTCCGAGTGAACCAAGAGGCATTGGCTATTGACCTCAGGATATAATTCTGTACTTGTTGGAGATAAAGTATGTTACTCTTGCTAGCCGTACTCTACAAATTAATGCCGTATGTCCAAATGGGTTTTAAGACTGAGTTGTAGATTAGAAGTTTGTTGTGTATTGATAATGATGAATTCCTTCCCACGAGTCAATGTATACCTATATTGGTATACATTGTGGTTGTGGTGGTGGTGGTTCGACAATGAAAAAAAATCCATGTTGTTTCTAGGGTCAGTTGCAGGTCAATGGTCAGCAGACATAAGTAAATAATCTCAGTACTGAATACTAAAAAAACCGACCTCAAAAGTTCGTGGAATTATGTAATTCCACACAGACAGATGAGATTTAACAGAATAGATGTTTGCCAAGTTTTAGTGAAATCGGTTACCGGAAAGCGCGCGAAACCGGAATCATCCCCTAGTTTGCCACCCTTTGTGATACCATCTTTCCAACAAAAGATCATCAAAAACGGTTCACAAATGCCGGCCGGAGTTATCGCGTAACATACATACAAAAAAACATACAGTCGAATTGAGAACCTCCTCCTTTTTTTGAAGTCTGTTAAAAAAACTTTGTTGTTCTGTGTTGGTTAGATAACTGGCTGTAAAGATAAAGTTTGAAATAAGACTCCACAAGAATTTAAGATGAAAGAATTGAATTTGATTCATGTGCTTTAGTATCTGTCATTGCATTGATTTAAATTAATGCTGTTCGTTTTTGCTTTTTTTTATAATATTAAGTGACGCGAAGAACAAGTCGTGCGCCTGATGGTAAGGCTACACGCCTGACCATAACAGTTGCAGTGTCACTCAGAGCTTTAAATCTCAAAGGTCTGAGGATTAGAACATAAGTTAAGTAAGCTAGAGGACGTTGGTTCGAATCCGGCCGGATCGAAGGAATTTTTTCTATGTTCGATCTTCGTATTAATAATTATAACAAACTAGTGCTATAATTTCACAAAAAATAATTGAATATCAATTCAATAAAAATTTAAAATACTACTGTTCTTAAAATAGTTAAGACTGCCACCGTGGCCCACCAGTTATCATGCTGGAATGCCATGAAGAGGTCCCGGATTGGGAGAAACATTTGTATGGCCTACATTTATTTCTCACGCGAGTTTGGGTTTAATTTAGGGTTGTCTATATATGTGTGTCCATGACACCCGCGATACAGGGTTTCCCTAGCGCGGGGCTATGAGTGAGAGTAAGAAACAAAAATTATGTTGGCCTTGGATCAACGCTGTAAGTTTTGGGTTTGCAATAAATCAATTGCTGCTTGCAGTGACGATGTCTGTACAGACCCTAAATATGTTAATAATAATAATAATGTAAGTACCTTTCCATAACCACTCAGGAAATGTCCAACATCATTGTTAACTCCCTTTTTCTTCCTCTTTGCACCACTCTGCAGTACACTCTTAGATATCATCTGTTGTTTTTCTGCTTTTTCTTTCAGTTTCTCTAGCTTTCTCTTTTGCATTAACTCTTTATAATTCACATAATCTTTTTTGGGTGGTTTTGCTCCTAAAATAAAGAGAATAGGAATATAATAAGTATCAAAGACCATTTTGCAAATTTTTAATGTTTGTTCTTTTTAAGCTATCTTCCTTGCACATGGTTATAAAGTTGTTGATTTGGGGAAAATGAAATTAAAATTATATGGGAAGGCAATTTTAAATATGTTGCTGGAGGAGGCAAATAGCAAAAGATATGGAGAAATGGATATAAGATATGGAGGATAGGCCTCTAGGCCTAATAGCTCTTAGCTCAAAATCCAGAGTTAACAAACTTATTAGTAATAATAAGTCATATTGTATTTGTGTACGCATTTCATACAATGTTTATGTGTTAAATAAATTAGTATGTTAGTTTCCAGCAGTAAAGGCTATAACTAAATAAATAAAATAGTCTGCAGTCCAATCCAAAGAAGTAGGGATGGTTACCTAAATTTATACAATCAATCATAATTGAGGAGCGTTGGAACTAAAACAGATAAATCACATTTTGGCATATTTCTTTTTAAATATGTTATTGTATTATTTTTGTATATACCTTTAACAATAATCAATCGACCAGTTCAATAAATGCTAGATTCGCTTCAAAAACCTGTCAGAAATACATGATCTAAACATAAACCTGCAAATGTATTTAATTTTCTGAAACAGTTTTATGATCAGAATACACTGATAAATCCGAAATATCACTATATTTAAGCTTGTTTTATTTCGTAAATAAATCAGAAAATAAATGTGATTTCTTATATTTTTAAAATAAAAACCTGTTGGGTCATCAAATGGCGACATATCCATATAGTCTGATAAAAAACTGATAACTTTTTTTCTTTAATCTCGACAGATATTGCACACCAGAATTATACTATTTACGTTAATATTTACGTTATATATTATTATTTCCTTAATGGTGGCCACTAGGCTTTGGTCGAGGAATGTGATCAGTTAATTCTGATCAACCGTGTTAAGAGAGCAGGGAGATAATATTGGCCAAAAACGCCAATGTCCAGTCTTTTGTGGAGGGAATACCTGATGATAAAGAACAATCATGGATAAACAACAAAGTAGAGCCTAATATTATTAAAGCACTCAGATAAAATCACACAAAATGTTAAGAAAAAGGTAATTAGAGGAGGAGGAGAATACAGGGAGGAAGGAGATCATATAAGGGCGAAGTCAGCTTAGGACATTCAAAGAAAATGTGATCAAGGGGACCCTCGTCCAAATCACATTCACACAAAGAGCGATATTTAGGTTACAAGACCGTGTAACTAATGCCAACCAATTGACATACTTCGGTCATGACATACTTTAATTCAGTAAACCTAAACCTAACTAAAAAATAGACGTATACATTTTCTATTTCTAAAATAATAATTGTCGTAATGGTTTTAAAAGTCACAATTAACCTAAACTAACAGCCAGTGCAATTTTAGCTTCTTCCTTTTTTGTCCCAACAAATCCAGACATTCCAAACTTAACCACTTCATGACGAATCTTTTTCAAGTCTAAATCTTTCTTTGAATAGATAGTTTCTTGTGGTCTATAGTTGTTTTTGTCGAATTCTAAAACTTTTTTCTTCTTTGATTTATGTGCTTCGAATTTTACCACTTGAAAGTTACTTTCTGCATTCTTTAGTGCCAAAGCAGCTTTTGTCAGCACTAAAGACATAATTTACTTCGTAATTGGACACTGTAGTCTCTTATATTCAATAAAATATTGAAATATACACAAACTCGTGCAACAACTATAAATTTAGCCTGTGAATTTAGCAAATTATTCAAAGTCCACAGACTACATAATTTTTTTTCTTTTATTTTCTCGCTATGACTTCCAGCCTTTGGCTATGACATTTCCATTGAGTTGCCAATTTTTAGTAATTCTTTCAAATAAATAAGAAAACGAAACTAAACGAATGCGCTTTTCTGTTTCTTCATAACTTACAGTTACAATGTCGTAAAGCAAAACCAACGCGAACCATATTAATATGAGAACAGAACCTTCATTTTCTTTCCATCCTCTAAGACAGAACCAAATCACCTGTCTGACTTTAAACTACCTTTAAACATTTCAAATCACAACACAATTTCTAATAAAAACTTCTATTTTATGCGTTTACACTTTTGTCATTTCATGTATAATAATAATGAGATCTAGTAAGATCATGCGCCCATAAACATTTGAAAAAAAAAAACGGTTCATCTTAATATTACCATTTGTATAAATTAACTGCTAAATTTTCATTTACCTCACTACGTGCATTTATTTTGTATATTGTTTTTTAAATGTAGTGATTTATTAATCACCAAGCGTTAAAAACCTTCCCTAACTTTAATTTTTAAATTTGTTATATGTCACAATGCTTGACCATAATGATATTCAATTATTTAAGAAAAATTATTTCACTATGTTATAATTATTAATACAAGGATCGAACACTAAAAAAAAAAATTCTTCGATCCGGCTACTTTCAAACCAACGTCTTTTATCAAATCATTCCAGAAGCTATGCCAACTAAGCCATGAAACAAACTAGCGGGCCTTTGATGACCTTCCACATTTAACGTTAACACCTGTCAAAAGTTGAAGTTACTGAACGAAAACGATGGAGCCAATAAGAGGTGGTGATGGTGTACTTGGTACTTGGTGTAACGGGTTGGTGTACGCAACTCGATGATGGTGTAATAGTTGGGTTTTTTCGTTATTGTGAGATCATTTTAAATCTCGTTTTTCTTTTATGTGGCTATGTAGTTAAAAAGCTATACAAGTTTATTTTATAATTCATGCTAAATAAAAGTCCAAAACATATTTCTAGACGTAGAACATAATAACGAGCCTTCAAAATTATATTTTTCAAATTTCGTCAATTTTTCCAGAATTTCACCGGAAAAATCTCCATTTAAAACAGTGATTTGAAATGCTTCGGAAAATTACCCAAAAAAGTGCCTAAATTTTTTCATGTTTTTTATTCATTTTAAAATAAATAGTAACACACTAGCTACTTGTCAAAGTCACGTCATCTGCACTTGTCAATGTCGCATTGACATATTGAATTTGTACGTATTTCGTTTTGTAATGAAGCGAAAATAAAATGCCGTGTCCTATTTTTAGTGCGCGTTTTGTTTGTTTTTCGCTTTGATGTTTTTCGTTCCGTTTGCGGTCGGGACTTACTAAAAATAATGTAACCGATATTGAGTATGTAGGTAGTTATATTTGGCACGAGCAGGTGGCGAGGCCAATAATATTTTCGGCTTTCATCGTTCGTGCGTAACTCTTCGCTGTTGGAACGTTTACATTCCATCTACATTCACTTTCATATTAACCGGCTTAGTTTTAGGAGCTATGATAAGTTTAACAGGTGTATGAAAAAAGTGTTAAAACGGTCTACCTCAAGTAAGCAATAACATGAAGAATAAGTTTAGAAATACAAACTCGACCATAAAGGCCGGGGATCTCCTATTGACTGAACAACCATTTGCGTTTGTTCTATCTTCAAAAGAAAAGGGCCTGCGGTGCGACAACTGTTTGGAGAAGTATGTACCTATACAGACATGTGTTTTGATGTTTTTATTGGAATACTCATTTTTGAGAACAGTTACATGTTTAAAACCACTACTGTGCTATTCCTACTTTCATATCTAAAAGAAGACCTTGTTTTTATTTTTGATTCATATTAAATATTTTTTTTAATTTGTTGGCTACTCAATTTTTTAAAATGAATTAGATGAAAATTTATATGCATGAAATGACAGTATATTTTCTAATGAAATGTTTAAATCATGGACTAATTAGTAGACACTCGACTTCTCCTATAGATAATAACTTTATTTTTTATTAATTTTACACTTTCAGGACATTTTAACTACATTTAATATGATTTAGCATTTGTATTTACAATTACATTATTAACCAATTTCTATATCTCACTCATTTGCTACTACAATGAATTAGAAGTTATTTATAGTTTAATGTTCTCTGTAAAAAGGCTGTATTAATAAATAAAAGCAAAAGTAATTTCGACATCATGTCTTATATGGATACTTCTTTTTTAAATCTTTTACTAATTTATTGTTATTATTTTTAAAGTTTTCAATTAGACTACTGTATTTATTATTCTATTTTAAGGTGTAAACATTACTCAACCCGAGTTCGTGTTTCAGGGGCAAGGTGTTGAAATGCTCAGGATGCCAATTTGTACACTACTGCGGCCGCATTTGCCAAAAGGAAGCTTGGAGTGATCACAAGGTCTGTGCCATACATTCCCGAATAGCAGTGCTCTCTTTGATCTTCTTTGTTTACTAAGACAGACAGGCAATAATATAATTTCCTAGGGAATATAACTGTTCCATATTTATGTAAAAAAATTCTATGATAACATCTGCACTTGATTCACGTATTATAAATATTTATAAACTTGCAGCTCTTAATAGAGCAGCAATAGAAGATGTATTAACTAAAGTAGTGGGTAAGTCACATAATTAAGTCGAATTTTTGCTCAACACGTTTCAAATCAATTTGTGGTCTTTAATCATGTATCCTTAGTGTGCAATCCTGCGTACGACTTTAATAAAAATAAACCAAATGAGGGTAGTTTCTTGCCGACGTCGCCTGCGCCCGCAGCCGTAGTGCTAGGGCTTTGGCGCGCAGTTTTCGTCGAGTCACTGCTGTGGAATCTCATAATTAAGGACTATAAAATGGTTTGAAACATGTTGAGCAAAAACTCGACTCAAATACGTATTTAAGTCGAAACTTACGTGAGTTATCTGTTATTTTAGTTAATATGTCTGACTCTCACGGCGGTTTTCTATTTAAATTAGAAGATATTTCAATTTTACTGTTTCTAATTTTAAATATGTTTCAATCACCTGATCCACCATGAAAATAGCATCCAAAACCATAAAACTGACTAGGTTTTAGCATCAATAAAAGCTTCTAATAAATCTAAAATGTTATGATGTTCATCATAAAATATAACTGGAGAAACTTGCCAACATGGGAAGCAGCATTATACAAATAAACATTCATTGTTTATACAAATGTGCTTTGTAACATCTATGATATTATCATTTAAATTATAAGGTACAACATTTTACGAATAAATCAAAGAAGACTCCATTTGTTTGTATGTCAGTCAGCTCGTGGCTTGTTGCCATTTTCTTGTCAACTGTTGAAGCTTTATATTTTTGTCCATTGCATTGGTTGTTTTATTTTAAACTGACCTGGGTTTTTGAGATGTTATAATAGCTAGTCTACATGAGCCTAGTTTTGAAACAGAGTATTATGTGCAATAGATTTTTAAATTGATTATTTTATTTAAGTGTACAATAGTGCACCCACAATGAGTAAGCATGTACATAATAATAATAATAATAATGATAATAAATAAAAATTCACTATAATATCGAATCAATTAAAAGCTCTTATTGATTAATTGCAAAAAAAATGTCCTATTATACATATATCCAACATTCATTAGAGTCTAGGGTTCCATGAAGGAGATATAAAATTATAAGAGAATAAATTCCCCTTTATAATATTTTCAGTGGGAATGCGCGAACCTCAAGCGAGTATCCCCGAAGGTGATTCCTGATGCCGCACGCATGCTCGCCAAAATCATAAACCGGCTGAATAGAGGAGATGGTAATTCGTACCGCGCCTTCTATTCCGCTACGTCGTTTCGGATGTGGAAAGATTTAATGTCGCGTAAGTGCAGTAAAGTCAAATGGACTCGACGAATAACAGAGTAGTTAAAATACTAGTCGGAATGCATTCGGAAAGCAATACGGATGCAGTCTTGCAGCGTAACTCCTATGACTTCGCTTACGTACAGTTAAGAGCACCTAGAGCTTGACACATAAGGTTGTATTCCAGAACTCTACTCAATGCTCTAGTCAGGATTTGAGTATGGTTTAAAGCACTCGAAATCATACTCAAGTCCCTGCCATTAGGGTCGTATTTCCAGTGCTTGTGTTTCCAGTGCAATCCTGACTTGAGCATTGATTAGAGTTCTAGATTACGACTCTCAGGGTCACTGCAATACTCAAGTCCTGATTTGAGTATTGAGTAGAGTTCTGGAATACTCAAGTCAGGATTTGAGTATGGTTTAAAGCACTCGAAATCGTACTCAAGTCCCTGCCATTACGGTCGTATTTCCAGTGCTTGAAATCATACTCAGATCCTGACTTGACCATTGAGTAGAGTTCTGGAATACGATCGTTCTTATCTAAGTGGCATAGAATTGAATTTAAGTCGTATATATATATGTCACCTTGACGTCCTCTTAACTCTGTAATTTTGTAATAAGCATACATAGACATAACTTCGGCTAAATTTGAAAACTTCGAAACTCCGTTTTTGGACGAAATCCCTTTTTTACTTTTTAAGCTCAATATCGGGCAATTAAAGCTTAATATATAATTGTTAGACCCCATTGTATAGAATTATATTTAGCAATTCTGTTTTTTGTGCGAGATTAGGAATTTAGCCGACGATAATAATGGCGCGACAATTAAATGATACATGTTCTTGCACCCGTAGTCTTTTCCTTACTTCTTGTCGCGTACCCAAACTTGGCGCATATGTTCTACTATAAGGAAAAAATGTGTTTATTTAGCTTCGTCAAAAGTTCTGCCCTTAACTCCTTCATTTTCTTTATGTTTTATTATTATGTTCAACATCCATGTCAATAGAACTGTAACTCTATTGGACAATAGAACAACTTTTAGTAGCAGTAGAGGTCCTTGTGAAAGAATTCGTCCAGGGAAGTACTGCCACCTTACCTATTTCTGCCGCCATGCCGTAATATGAGCTTTACTGCGTTCCGGTTTTGAGTGGTTAAGAGTGCCGGTGAAATTACAGGCACATGGGACTAGTCTCATGGTGATGGGCGCGGGTTTTCCACGTTGCGAATGCCGATAGTGCGAATATGGTTGCGAGAAAACTACAATGCGCAATGGCTTATTTTCACGAATGTTCAGTTGCGTGAAGGTTGAAAACCGCGAAAGTTTAAACGCGCCATGGTTCATTTGCGAGAATGAACGATTGCACGAAGACAAATTTGCGAAAACTGGAATGCGCGAACGGTTAATCCTACGATTGTTCATTTGCTTCACGGAAGTTTTAGTTGAGTTGTCAACAGTCTGGAATTCTTTCCCCCTTTCATTTACATAGGCAGGAAAGGGAATTCAAATATATGTAATTATACATATTACATGAACTTTCGAGGTCGGTTGTTTTTTTAAGTTATAATTATTGTTTGTTCGTTATTGAACTTTTGAGGTCGATAAAAATGTTACAAATTATCAACTTCCCTTTCTATGTAAATGAAAGGGAAAGAATACCGGACTACCATCCATTCATTCATCTGACTATCATCCATTGACCATCTTCGCCCTATCGGCATTCGCAATCACGTGGGAACCCGATGGGCGCAGTGGCAGCGCACATCTTTATGATTTAAAGCTCTAAGTGGCACTGCAACTGTTATGGGCAGGCGTGTCGCTTACCACTAGGCCCACGATTTCTTAGTTCCGCCATGTGGTATTATAAAATAAACTTTAATTTGAGATTACTTTGATGTGCCTAATTTGCACAAACTTGCACAGAGTTATTAAACCATTGAAGCATAACCTGTCTCTTGTTAAATTAGTTAATTATATTATTACACTATTTTTCAGACTACTCTGACTTGAAAGCGGACAAGAAAAGGATGGATCATTTTACCTCGCTCTGCGTCGTTCTGTACGAATTTCTTAAAGACATATCACTGCCAAACACGGTTGAACTTATGGGACTTTATGGAAGGGTAAGTCAGCCCAACCGTTTAGATAGTACAGTGAAATGCAGGCCGCCGTCGGAACAAGATAAGGCCAAGACAAAAATGTGAGGATAAAGTTAGCCACGTTTTATTTGTAATTTAAGGATTATTAATCATTACTGCATTTGGCATTTCCATAACCTGTAGCACATTTTTTTTTCAGATGGTTATTAACAGTTTCACGATCCTGGACAATGATATGAACTCTATCGGAACTGGCGTCTACCTGGCCTGTTCTATACTAGACCATAGCTGTAACCCTAACGCTGTAGCCACCTTCGATGGAAAGACCATTAGCATACGTGCTACTAAAGACATTTCATATTTAGACTGGGATCAGGTTTGATTTTTATGACACGAGATATTTCCTAAGAGCGGATTCAAACGGCCACTTTTAGCAACGATGCAAACGCGATGCAGTCGCTAATTGTCTACCTTTACATACGCTCACGATTTTAAGCTGGGAACCTACTACTCGAATTTATTTTTTCCGAAATAACGTTTGTTCGAATGTTCATTACACCGAAAACCGAATTATAACGAAACCGTTGTTCTCTCAGGATATGTTAGATGTTTATCGCAAAGACACGATTAGGTTCGGTTAGGTTTAAAAGAAAAAACATTTTCCTTTCAAAATTACTTTCAAGGTTATGAAAATTCGAGCAAACCATATTTCTGGAAAATGTGATTTCGGACTTCTGAAAGGTAACCCGCGTGACTGCATCGATACAAACGCGCGATTGCATCGCTACACCTGGGATTTATATCGATGTATCGATTTGAGCGTTTGTATCGATGCAGTCGCGCGTTTGCATCGATGCAATCGCCCATAAATCGCAAGTGTATCGTTGCAATCGCGTGTTTGCATCGCTGTTAAAAGACGCCATGTGTAACACTCTATTTCAATTGACTAAAACAGTTATGGGTAATACTCATAATACTATAACGTTTGAGATATTATTGGAAGTTCCACGTTTAATTTCCGTTTAACAACATTTAATTGTCCTCAAAAATCAATTGCGCGTTCTTGCCTTTTAAATACTTACCGTATATTTTGTAACCGATGTTCCAGATTCGTATTTCCTACATCGATCTGATGAAGACACCTTACGAGCGGCAGACAGAATTGCTACAAAACTACTACTTCCTGTGCGAGTGTGACAGGTGCATGGGTAAATGCTTTAGATGTGTATGCTATTTCTCTTATCTCAAGACACATCACACTTATATTAAGAAACCTATTGTGCAGCAATATTATTTCCTTAGAATGAAAAATAGAATGCCTTGTCCCCAAAAACTTTCAACGCTCGCACAGTACAAAAAGTAATGTCATCAAATGTTATAGAGGCTTCAAAAATATTCATGTGTCCATCTCCATCCATCCTTTTGTTTTTCTCTATTCTATGAAGATCTATATCCTTTCTTTCTGAAATATTTTATGTTCGTTGCAATGCACATGTGTCACAGATTGCATGAGGTCTGCAATTTAATCTGCCAAGCGGTGAATGTGTAATTAATTTCCGTTGTGTCTTATTGATCTGTATTTTTACAGTTGGTGTCCTTGAAAAAAACATTATCTCCAATGATTTACACAAACTTTACATTGATTTTTTATAATTTTAGATGAATCTCAACACAAGTTAGTTCATGCCGCGAAATGTCTGAACAGTGAATGTGACTGTCCTATCAACATTCCATGGAAACAGAACTGCCAAGTTGTCAGAAAGCCAGAGGAAACTGCAGAAAAAGAGGACGAAGATACAAGTGGTGGCTTTACTAATGGTCATCATGAAGAACTTAAAGAAATACCACAGAGTGTAGAAGATGGGTTACGTTGTGAAGAATGCGGTACAAAGTTCACTGAGAACCATGTCGAGAAATTTATCAAGGCAATGGAATTTACAGAAATGCATTTACAGAATATGAAAGGAGCTTCTGTGGCTTGTATCCTTTTACTTACTATAGGTTTATTGTGAGTAAATAAATGTAAATATGGTAGTTAATAGAGGTAGTATGGTAGTAGTAGTAGCACCATAAAACTTGAATGTTCCCATAAAATACTATCACGTCCATCCTCCACAAAGACACTACACTGACAGGAATTCAAGTTAGGTAGAGACTTTTTTTTGAACAAAAGACGACGTAATCCTGACGTAGTCCGTAGTCCTGACTACATCTCTGACGAGAGCAGATGACTCCTGAGATGTAATTTGTCCAGATAGACCGTAGAAATATAATATTTCTATCATCGTGTTGATGTTTCGTATCCTTGACCGCTTTGTATCAGATGTCGACGTTTGCAAGTATTGTTTAGAACGCCAAGAAGGTGTGTTACATCCACTGAATGTGATGCATGCGCAAACTCTGGATTACGCATTCGACGCGCTCATTGAATTTCAAATATGGGAACAGGCTTGTGCTTATGCCGAAAGACTTTTGCCTTGTTTTAGGTAAGTACATACATTGCAGTGATTTTATGTATTGATGGTTTTCCAGACATGAGTCATGCACATTTGGGTGTGTGTTGTCTTGTAGATAACCTCCTATCAGATGCTTCACAGCCTGAAATTCACTGAGAATACAAGCCTGTTGATGTCTCCAGTTACTGTCAGAATTGTTGCAGTTATAAAGATTGCAAGTTAGATTCAAAAAAGTGGACAATAATGCAAATTAGCAAATTTGCATTATTGTGCACTTGTTTGAAATCGAATTTGTAATATTGACAATTTCCAGGTTCTACTATGGCGAACGACACCCTTTACTGGCACTACTACATCTCAAATATGCTAAAATTCTCCTCTACAAAATGGATTCGTCAAAAGCTTTCTACCATCTGAAATGCTCTGAGAAAATTCTCAAAATCACCCATGGAGACAGGCATCCCTTGTATAAAGAACAACTCTTGCCTTTACTACGTCAAGCTATAGCAGAATCTTCATAAAACGTTTTGTGATTTTTTTTATGTACTATTGTCAATTAGTTTTGTCGACCAAGGCTGTGTGTGCAATAAATCAAATTAAGTTTAATTAAATGCTTCTTTTTATAACACACGTCATAATTAGCAGGTCTGTTCTCCTAAAATATAGTGCATAAATTGCTTGTTAGCTCGAGATAGTTTGTCACTTGTCAGGTATATCCACGGAAAAAAATCAGTGTTTTTTCTGTGGGTACAACAGAAGTGGTATTGAAGAGGTCAGTAAGGTTGGTACCTTTAAGCTTTGGTAAGCTTTGAAGAAAAGTAAACTAATTGCATATGTCAGGGAAAAAAAATTTTATTTGTCATTTCATTATAACATGGGCAAAATATAAATGTCTTGTGATGTCCTGAGTCCATTGTCTAGTCCAGTGTAAGGTCTCATGTGTCCTTGGATTAATATGTATGTTAGTAAATAATTGTCTGGTAATTGTTAGGGACTCGTCAGTCATATCTCATTCTCTTATGGGGTTGCTCTTCTTCTGCCTCTATAACCTTCATGCGAACACCACAAATCTCTGCACCGTGTAAAGCTTTAATGGCATCATCAGCTGCCTGTATGGAAGCATATCTAGCATATCCAACAGTTTTATTGGGCAATGTATAAACATTGATTAGATCCCCAAAACGACAAAAAACATCCCGTAAAACAGTAAATGGTGGTGGCCGAGGTTTACTCACTAGAAAACACCGTTTAGCTACTGGACTGTCAATATCAGCTAATGGCTTTGGTGGGGGTAATTTCACACTGCAGTAACTTAGGTCACTACTATCTGGAATTTTTTCCTCTAAGACACCTTGAGTAGCCAATTTGATAAGTTTAGAGGCTTCAGCAATTGCTTCTGCTAATTTTGCCAAGTCTGGTGTAGATGAACTAGAAGTTTCAGTAATGGCATTCCTCAATTTGTTCACAACATTAGGCATTGTTGCGAAGCTCTGCTCATGTGTGACATCAAATTTGGAATGATCTGGTTTTACAAATATTCTCACACCAGGGGGGTACTCAAGCTTATTCAATTTCTCCACCGCATAAGCTGCTGAAATTGGATTAGAGTAAAGAACAATGCCTTTGCCAAAGTTGTGAATTAAATCAACAAAGAAATCACAATGTACCATCCCAGGGATAAGATCAAATAAAGAATTAACCTGATGATATGCTAGATATGGTGCACACATAAAGTGAACACGTTTGTAGCCTTCTGGCCGAGTGTTCATCATGGAAAGTAGACTAGTTCGGACATTTGTAGATGTATTTGCCAAATCATTAAGCTTTGCTTCATAACTAGTTTCTTGACGTCTAGAGTAATAACCTCTGGGCTGTGCAAAAATTGCTCTATATATTTTGTCACAATTTTCAATGGCACAGGCTGCATCTGAAAACTTTTTGTATTTTATATAAGCAAAACCCTTAGATTCTCCAGTGTCTCTGTCTCTCTGTATTTGTATAGATATAATTTTACCAAACTCTTTGAAGTGTTCATCAAGCTCATTTTCTGTAGTGGTTTTAGGAATATTTATGAATACTCTCCTATACTTATCGTTATCCTCGTCATCAGACTGTATATCTGACCGGTTACAGGCCACCATAACTTTCAATGGACGAGTTGAATCTGGTAATACACGCAAATTCATGGCTTCCAATGCAGCGGCGGCTTCGGAAGTTTTCGAAAACTTTACGTAAGCAATTCCCTTGGGAAATCCTGAGTGACGGTCGCGAGGCATTTTGACGTCTTCTAATTCACCGAACTTAGAAAATGCATCTCGAATATTAGTCTCTGTCAACACTCTTTCGCAGACAACGAAAAGTCGTGAATACGCCGGATTATCATCAGAGCTCTCTTCTTTCCGCTTACGACGGTAATCCATTTTATTTTACGATGTTTTATATACAACTACAAGACAAAATCTTTTAGAACGAAGCGCCTATAATCGCCTAAAAGGTCAAATCATCGAATGTTCTAAAAGTGACCTGCCGCACCTGAATAAATTGTGATAAATGCAACGATACCTATTTTGTATTGGATAAAAACAGTATTACAAACAAACGCATATGACAACGACAAATTGTTATTTACTTCACTTCATTGTTTTATTTAAGTTAAGTTTGTCCCTTATTTGTCCCCATGAACTCAAATGAAAACTCCATTTTCGTAACGTATTAACGTAGGTGATCGATGACCATACGTCCAACCACAAACTAAAAAAAAACTAACATAGGTCGTCATAATAAAAGTGTTGCCAACGTCGAGTGAAAATGAAATTAACAAATTATAAAATATAGGCAATAAAAAATATATCTTTCTCAATGAATAATAGATACAAAAAAGGATCATTGATCTTTCCGTAATAGTAGCTCTTGGATTTTTATTTGTTTTAGAAGTTGAATAACAAAAGACATTAAAAGATGTCCATACAGCATTGACCTTGATGGCATACAGTTCAAAAATATGCTGTACTATATTCTGACCAAATATTTTAAAAGTAAAAATATTTGATTTCAAACACTTCGATAGATACCATATTATCGTTATTTGATTACTAAGAACATAAAAAAACACTTTCTCAATTTACCGGTTTATTCACATTTATCGTTGGAAGATTGTTTTGAGATGATATAGTGCTTTTCTTCTTCTTCTTTAAAATGATAGAAGATTGTACTTTGAATTTGAAATAGTACAAAATTAAAACATTTTTTTATGCTAGCTAAATGGCATTAAAATACTTTTTGCCAACGTCAAAGTAAAAGGTTCGGAAACGGACGCCAAGACAACAAAAAAGGAAAGGAAACTAGATCAAGAGTGAGTTAAGTTTGGAAGGATTACTATATATAAGAATGGGCTAAACTACTACATCATTTAAATAATTCTAGCAAAAATCACAAATTCTGATTTGTAAATTACCGGTTTTTTTCTAACCGTTATTTTAAATCATATTTTTTTCCAAATGTCAACACAACATTTATTTATGCCACAGTGAACGAGAAATTGATTTTCTATTTTGTGTTGTTAATCCAAATTACTCGCTACTATGCCTGTTTCATCGTTTTAATTTATTAGATAATATGTGGACTCAGTCGTAACAATAGTGGTATGGTGCGATACGTACTGGTAAAGTGAGAAATGGCGTACTGTGTTGGATCGAGTATCACGTCAAATTCGCGATTTGGTCAAATGATTGTTAGCAGTCGAGCCGTGGGGTGGTCTTTACGCTGCGTAGATTAGAGCCACTACATTCGCGAACTATCGAGTCAAATAGACTGTTGGACAATTATTGTGAAATGTTTCATTGAAGGACAGTGGCAATAATTTCTAGTCTAATTCTTATATTACCCTCTAGTTGATTTTTTTGTCGAACTGAAGATGTTCAGTGATTCGTACGAGCGGCGGCTGCTGCAGCAGTGCAGCCCGGTAAGCCGGAAGCAGTCTGTGCTGGTCCGGCCTGAGCCCATGGACAGATTTGTACCCTGCCGGATAGAACAAAATTGGCAGACTAACTTTCAAGGTAAGTTCTCAGGAATTTATCTGTCGAACCCTATATACATCCCAGTGATGGACATGATCTTCTGAAAGATGGTTTAAAACTTGGTGTAGTTGGGAATTCCATAATATCGAGCTTACGGTGCATAGGTAGTGAATCTTAAGTACATTATAATAAAGTGTCTAATGATAGGTACTTTTGTGTAGTTATCAATTAGGTCCCTAATTATAGCTTATTCATAATATTGATGAAATCATGGTAATATTTCTTTGACAATAATGCTAATTAGCACTTATTGCAGGTTGTTTTAAAAACAAATTAGCAACTGTATGTAAAAAATTTGCCTACCTGCAAAAATTTCAATTTCAAAAAAATTATTTGAAATTTACTAGAATGTTGTTTTTCCTCCTTGTACTGTACTGCTTGTACTTACAAAAGCCATTTTAGTAATTACTTTATTGACTTTTTCATAGTATTTTTCTAGCATAATATGTAGGTAGGTAGTTATATAAAGTAGGTTAGGGTACATTATCTACTCTTAGAGATGTTGATGAGATTGTTTTAATTTTCACGAGGTAGTTAATGATGTTTTTATTTTCATAATATACAGGTAAGTTATAATAAAAGCTTAAATGCGAGAGAGTAACACTAGGAATTTTAAATTATATGAATGAAATTGGGTCCCTGCAGCGAAGTGCCCAAGATGCTGGCAGCGTTCCTCCTTTGTATGGCTTTGCTAATGGGTTGAGCAAGGGAGCCCTCGGGTTTCCCAGACATTTATTAATTTTTAGTCTTCTAATTTTTCAATAAAATTTTGTACAGATGAAGGGCACTGGGACCCCATGGGCCAAGGGTTTAGACTCCAACGGCTGTAAATAGGTAGTAGGAGCTGAGATCCTGGTACTTATTACTTTTTATTCTTTCTGCCAGCTCAGCTGCGGAGCCAGCCTTCTTGCTAATGTGCTGGAGATGGGATGGGGCAATTTTCTAGATGTAAATAACATACATCTTTATATAAGGCTTTATTTAATGGCTTGAACATTAAAATACTATACATCCATGAACAATGTAGGAGCTTACTGTTTGTACATGTTGTACCCTTGGTATAATAAAGTTACATGTCATTGTACATCAAAAGTTCTTCTATTACATGAAAGTCTATTACGTGAATTACATATAAATGTGCAATGTTATGACTCTCCTTAAGTATAAAAAAGATATTATTTCATTTTATTTGTACAATATTTAAACCTTTCTCCTGAAAAGTTGTCATTTTGCAGATGTGATAATTCATTTCTATACCACTCCACCTACACTATAAATGGAACTAAAACTGTGACTAATAAGAAAATGTGCGCTTAACAATGTCCATAGGCAAAAAATACATTCCAGTTTGGTCACGCTTCAATCCCTGCCTGCCAGCGTGGATCTAGACACAATTGTGCGAATGTTTTTGTGTTCACACGTTAGACATGCAGAAGAAAAAACCTAGCATTAGCCTGGGAATCTGTGTAAAGCCATTGTAATTTTGCTATAAAAATGGTAATGGCTTCTTGTTTAATTTAGGGACAATATTCTTGTTTGTTATCTGTGTCTTTCTCAATTTTCAAGTCACTGATGTCTTGTTTGCATTATACAGTCAACAGCACATCAATTCACACTTTTGTTATAGTCCATTCGTTTAGGTACTTAACTAAATGCATACAATCTTGATACATCTTTTTATTGAAACATAATAACATGCTTTACAAATCAATAGGTATAAAAATAGGCAAGCAATTGCATATGAAGCTAAGTATTTGTATTTGAAGGTAAGTAAAAATCATTTTATAAATGTGTATTTCATTAAATAGACATCTCAAGATTGTAAGATTGTTTACATTTAGTTAAGTACCTAAACAAATAGACTATAGAATACCATCTCCAGTGGAACACAACAAGATCCATCAATGTGTAGCTTGACGTCTTCATTCATTGGCATCATCATCCTATTTAAGAGCCAGGCTTTTGTCAGTGTAGCCTCCTCATGGTTCAAAGCCAGCTTCTTGACCTCCTAATAGCTGCTCACTTTGATCTTCTCCTTTATATGTTCTCTATATGCCTTTCTTGGTCTTCATCTCTTTTCCCTTCTACCTTCACCTCAATTATCACTCTCTCAAATTCGTCATTATGTAACAAATGTCCAAATATTTTCCCCCTTCTGTTCTCTATCAGTGGCAAAGGATCCATAAGACAATTCTCATCGGCTTACTCACATATGCAAATTGAGTAGATGGTATTGAATGGAAAATGTTTCATATTGCTGCATTTTCTGCGTACCTTCTAACCAGCTTCCCTTCCCGAGGTATCCAACCTTTGCCACTACTTCTAATCTTCTTTTGTAACTTTATTTACTAATCTACTAAAAAAATCACACCTTTTACACATTTGTATTGAATGTACTTTGTTAAAATCTATTCTAAGTAAACATAGAATATCTATTGGCGTGACTTGAACTTTACGTAGATGTACTCTATAAGATCTCACCCATAGACAGAACGCAATGTTTTTCTATGTCACTTTTATACTTAAGTCATAGAAAAAACGCTATTTTTCATTTACTTTGTCATGTCTATATAAAAAATTTTAGTGAAAATATCTAATATAATAAACCAATCATAAAAAATAGATCACTGGCTTCCAATCATAAAGTCATGTTCCAAAAGTTATTTTCTTTTTGCTCGTTTAATGTTACAATGGCAATGATTCTGGCAAAATTTTAAATCAACCTGTAATGATAGGCTACGTACCTGACATTGCGTATTTTTTTCTATTGTCTTTGTATGGTAGCTGGAAGATTTTTTATTGTCTACTAAAATCGATGTAATTATTGTACAGTTGCAATTTTCATCTGAGTGATATTGTTCATGGCATAATAATATCCAATGTTAGATATACCTGTTTTTAAATAAAAATAGTAAATACGAACATTTGGAACAGATTGAAATTGAAAACGCTTGACGGAAATTGGATGGAATCCAATAAACCGGATTCATCCCCTAATTAGGTAAAAGGTATGAATAATATTTACTTCAAATTTGAATGGAACCACTTCTTTGGTACCCCCTTTCGAGCAAAAAAGAATAATCGAAATTGGTACATAAATGACGGAGTAATCGCGCACACACACACACACACACACATATAACACAAAAAAAAATCGGTCGAATTGAGAACTTCCTCCTTTTTTGAAGTCGATTAAAAATAGTTAACAACTCTATTATCGAATTTCTTGCGGGGCTACATTATCTTTCTAGAATTACGAAACGTTCACTTAACAACATAATAAAACAAGTCTAATTGCTAATTACCGTGTTTTACCAAACCTAACGTTTGACTTGTATCAGTTTCAACACAAATTAATTAATTACCACGTAGCCTGTATATTATTTTTATTATATATTTATATTGTTACAATAATTACAAAGTTATTTGTGGCTATTAAAATTATTGAGTTGTATCAAATTGTAAAAAGATAATTTATTATGGAAACGCATATATAAATTTGTAATATCGTCGATTTAGAGTGAACACCTCGTGTGTGATTTCTATGTAATTTTACATTTAATAATACATTTGAGCAAGAGGTTTATAAATTTTCCTTCAACAAAAATCAGTAAAAACGAACTACTTATGTGAAAACGCGTATGCGAGGTTTTCTCTCTAAGGCACTTTGCGTTGTCGTCCGTACGTATAAAGTTTCTTCAAAAATAAAGTATCTTCAAAAATGATTCCGTTTCTCAGTTGTCTTCAGCTTAAAAAAAGCAGACAAATTGAGACTCGCCGTAAAACTGCAGTTTAAAAAATGCTACATAAATATACACCTTATTCGGAAGAATTCGCCAAATAAATTTATTTCCCGAGCCGTAAGGTAAAAGTTGTAATAATTTAAAAGAACAGAGGTCATTAGCAAAGGCAAAATGCGAGTAAATCAGAGCCCTTAGAAACAATGGCCTATTTGCAATTCATAAACTCCACGGTTGGCTACCTGTGTGTTTTGTATATAAATTGAAAAATAACTCCCAACTTATTTTTTTTAATAAGTAGAAGATTATTGTTAAACGCTTTACTTTAAATTTGTCTATACAGTGTCTATAAAGTTGGCGCTAAAATTTTAAGGGCTTTAGACTCCAGTCAAGATATAAAACGGACAATTAGACTTATAATATTTCTCTAGATACATTTAAATTCACACAAATACCTGGGTCAAAATGTGTTCATTTTAAAGTACGAAATCGGCTTCTTGACTGGTACTTGGAGCTGTACAATTCCTACTACATAGATTTACAATGGAACAGGAAATAATTAGGTTTTGAGATATGTAGGTAGGATTGTTTCGATTAACTTAAGTGTATAGTGTTAATAATCTCAGTACAGAGTACTAAAAAATCGACCTCAAAAGAACGTGGAATTACGTTCACTATTACACGGGACTTGACACAGGAGATAATAAAAATCGGTTCTCACTACTCAAAGTATATTGAGTGAGAAAAACGCCTTCAATTAAAGAATAGCAAAATCAACAATTAAAATACTTGCTCCTTATACTAAAATTTAGGCGCCATTTATAAAAATGTATGTGTGAACAGCCACCCCTAGAGGTGGATGATTTTCTTCAAAATTATATGGGACCACTATGGAGGTACTCTCTTTCCAACAAAAAAAGAATCATAAAAGTCGGTTCACAAATACCGCGTAACATGCATACAAAAAAAAGACAGTCGGATTGAGAACCTCCTCCTTTTTTGAAGTCGGTTAAAAATAGACTGTATATTTTTATTATTAAGAAATTTATTCAAATCTCAGTAGGCGCGTGTATGTCGTGATTCTTCGTCGTCGATTAATTCTTAAAATTAAAACGTTCTGTCGTTCTCCGTCCGTCATCCGTCAGGAACAATTAAGGCTTATCCATACATATCTGGGACGTGTCCGGGCCGACGCCGGGACGGGCCCGGACGGAGTTCATACAAACTAGCACGGCCCGT